AAGAATAATACTAATTGGCCAATTGTTTTATTTAAGGGTTTACGGCCCGATTACAAAGTAGCGAAAATGTGGGAGCAGAATCCTGAGCAAAAGATACATATCCACAAGCCAAAATTTACGAATTATGAAACTAACGTTTATGATGGGAGAATAAAAAATATAAACAATTCCGTTCCGCTCGAGGTAGAATTTGCAAGCCTTGAATTTAAGCTATGAAAATTTTTATAATCATGACTATGTTGGCTTTCTTTAGAAAGGAAATCCGCCTTCCAGGATGAAGTTGAGAGAAAGGAAAAACAAAGTACATTATGAGGAAAACCAGGACTCAGATTTCTCGGATCCCCCAGAGCCTAAGAGAGTTAGTGATACAGACATGTTTTGGGGTACTTTTAAACTATAATAATTGACTTTTCTACAATCTTCGATTCAGGTAAAAAGACAATCCCGGGAGGAACAAGAACTAGAAAAACAATCTGAAGATACAAAACTAATGAATGGAATGGAGGGCGAAGAAGAAAAGTCCGTGGATAACATAGATGAAATTGATGATATAGATAATGAAGGGAATGATCATGATGATAACTCCAATATTTCTTTGGTAGCTCAGACACTACACGCACTAGAGGTGAGTCATAAAGGAAACCTAGAAATAAACCGTTGCAATAATTTTACTGACTATTCTATTAGAAACATCGTACGGCCAGGACAGCAATCGAAAATATACGCAACGCGGATGTGAATGAAGCTACTGCCTCTGACGGTAATACAATCAAACTCATTTTACGTTATGTGCCGAATCATGTATTGACCTTTACTATTTGTCGCGGAATTACTAGGTTTGAAGCAGAAATATTCTGACCAGTCACCATAACCAGAAGGCAATAGAAAGAAAATTACGGTTGTAGATATCAGTGATGAAAAAGATGAAGTAGACCGATTTTTTTCTGAACCTTCTACATCATGTGCTTCAAATATCTTTAGCTCCGAAATTTCTGACATGTACAGCAATGAGCAAAGATTACAATTATCACCATGTATCCTTAAATCTGGCAAGGACTTGACTGACATATGGAATAAGTATTTGTCCAAGATTGACTTGCACCCATGGAGTGTAGAACACAATTGTATTGTGAAAACCTTTCAGAATGATGTACTCAAATCTCTTTGCTTGGAAGCAAGCTGGAAGTAAATCCAAGGCAATCGACTACATCTTGCAAACGAGACTTAAACCTGTTTTACAGGAGGAAAATGATAACCAGTCTTTGATGCAGAAGTTTGTACAAATGTCCAAATTAGTTTGTTTTAACGAATTGATTTGTTTTCTGCTGATTTTTCGTTTAGATCTTACACCCGAGACAAATTGACTATAACGAGCTTTTTTTAAATTACAAGAATTGTTTCTAAATCATCAAATGATATAACGAGGTATGTATAGTCTTAATTGAAATAGCAAATGGTTGGTAAGTAACATGACATAATAATGTTTGCGGTACAAGCTATTGCAGTCAGGAGTTTTACCCGATTTGGGAGATGCAGATCTCACCTTTTTATAGTAATGAAAACATTCGAGAAAT